GTAAAGAGGGCTTAACTATTAAAGGCGGTGACTTAAGCCAAGTGGAATCTGAAAATGATCTGAAGAGAGAAATGCTGCAGAGTGACCAGAATCCGAGGTCAGTTTTTCATCAGTTTTAAGCCCAAGAACTCAATACTGCCATTTCACAGTGGTGCAGTGTTCTGGAGTGCAGTTGTAACCCTTGGGAGTGGATGAGGAGCTGGCCACTGCTGTCAGGGGAAGAATGACTCGTGTCTTTACAAAAATACAGCTTTTTGAAGGGTTTTGATGTGCTCCTCGGCGTCTGGCCCAGGGTCCTTCTTCAACTGGGGTTGACTTGGCTCTGGTCATCAGCAGGGGGTTTAGGTTGGATCTAAGGATGACATATTTCTCCATCCTCACTGAGAAGAAAGGGAGAGGCTGCCCAGGAAGCTGTGCACACCTCATTCCTGCAGGTGGGCTGAGCCAGGTTGGATGGGGCCTTGGGCAGCCTGCTCTGGGCATAGGATGGCTGTGTGTAGTGGGCAGCAGGAGCCCAGGGCAGTGGGGTGCTGGGTTCACAGCATGGCTGCTCAGCTGTGGCTGGTGGCAGGGGCTCGATGCTAAAGGGCTGCGGTTGATAGAAAGGAAGTGTTTGTGTGTAAATGCTTGCATTACCCAGGAGCTTCATAAATTGTGGTGCTTTTAAAAGGGCAGCGATGTATCCTGAGGTGCTGCGGATCTCCCAAACGAGAAACGGCCTCTCATCATTCCTGTCCTGGGCAGCAGCCTGCTTTGTGCTTCGTTAAAAGCACCGTGCGTGTAAATGAGCCCCGTTCTGGATTGGTGCGAGGGGATTTGGGCGAGCTCCGTTGTGAGCAATATGGGCATTGTGTTACAGGTTCCCTGGCTTCCACTGCAATTGAGTGCGATTCAAAGCCTGTCTGAATTTTACCTTTTAAAAAGGTAAATGTTTTCTGTGCCTTAATCCGAATGCAGCCATTTTTGTCTTAGCTTGGAGCCGGTATATGACGTTTTCAGTGGTGCTACTTGAGAGGAGATGGAGCATAAACTGACACAATGCCTTCTGTAGCTGAAAAGAATAAAGAAGCAAAATGTCTGTCTTGCAACAAAATGAAGAATCTTATGTGTTTAGGGGAGATACATAAATATTTATGTGTTGGATTGACATCTTCTACAGTGTTTGGGTTTTACCGGTCAATATTTTGACAGATGTAACTGATGAAGATGATGTACTCTATTAGCTTGGTGAATGCCCAATTAACACCTCTTGTTCGGCTTACAGCATCGAGCAAAAATTTGCTGTAGTCCTGATCCTCCTGCTTAACTATTCCTGCGTTCAGCAATAAACATGCTACTATTGCATGCGATTGGTCAAAGGCCAATTCACTGATGGCTTTTCTTGTCTTCAGCTAAGGTAGAGTATAAAACGTAAGCTTAATTTTAGTCCAGATATGTTTCTGCATTAGAAAATAGCCTGTCCCCTCTGTGATCAGCTGGGTGAGCATGAACCTTAGCACTGACAGCACGATGGCCAGCTGCTGGTGCATCAGGAAGCATCCCCATGTTGATGGCGTAACGACCTGAGCTTCGTTAAAGGTTTGAAGGTTTCTGCTTTTGAATGGAAACTTAGAGCAGCTTTTTCTCGAGGCAGCAAGAGGTATTTTACTGCAGAAAGATTGCGTGGCTATTTTTAGCCCCGGGTGCTGGTGAGGTGGAACAGAATATTTTTAGAGCTGTAGAAAACGCAGCCACTCGAGCTGCCTTCCTTCATTCTAATGCCATGGACTTTTTCTGTGTCAAAATAGAGTAGAACTGGTAGGAAATGTTTTTTTACGCGTCATTATTATTAGTTATGCTCATTATCTCTTTAATATTGATATAGAATTTAAAGTGTTTTAGACCTGTGAATAGCGCTCCAAAGGATTACGATGGTTTTTACTCCAACTTTGAAAACTCGTTACTCATGTGAACCTGTCAATAAAAATGCAACAAACAAGGTGTGATTGGGGCACACTCGATACATACCAACCCCATCTGCTGCTTGGATCATTGCTGGAGTGAAGGAGGTGGAATAATTCAGCAGCTGGTGCTAGTGGTGACTTGGTAAGAGGAAAAAGAATTGCTGCACTGCAGTTTGTGCAGCTCGGTGTGTCTGGTGCTAACATCAGGGCCTGGGTGTGCTGAGTGCAGGTCAGTGTCAGCTGTGCTCGGAAGAGAACGTGCGTTTGGTGCCTTGCCTTCTCTGGATTCTAAGCTGGGTGCATTAGGTAGAAGTGAATAGTTGGCTCCAACACCTCCTCCAAAGCAGAGAGATTGCTGGAACAGGAGAAGTGGGTTTCCATATCGCTTGTCTGAAGCTCTTCTGGTTGACATCCATTTAATTACACAAATTGGCTTGGGAAGATTGTTATTATCCACGTTCAAACATCTACCTTTTCCAGTGTCTGAGTAATTCACAGGACTTGTTAGCAGTAATACATGCACGGCATTCCTTGAAATTATTGTGTGCATGTGGAGCAAAAAATATCCAGTAGGCATTTGTGCTTGGTACCTCTTTTCTGGGATGTGAAGGAAAATGGCCTACAAAGTAATCCTCTGAGCTCTGCCATTCAGAATGTGCGAAAGAAAAGGTTATAAAGCTTAATAATTTGTAATTGTGAGGGGAAAAATGTGTTTCTGGCAACTTTCGTAAGAATTTTTGTATTAACTGTCTTGGCTGTGTTCCGGCTTTATCAGATTATAAGTTCTATTTTAATCTGCTCTGTTGTCAGCTGGAGATCTTTCTCCCTCCCTTTGTTAAATAAAAGCTATTTGCAAGGCGTGGTTGGATGTTTTGCCATAAAAACGATTTTCTTATATAAAACTGCATTTGTATATTTCTAGTTGTAATTGAATTCCATTACTCTGAAAGTAAACAATGTGTTGATCTGGTTGATCTGCTTGGTTCTCCTAAACCCAGCTCATCTGCTGGATGAACTGGGAGCAGTCTGCTGGCTTGTCTGCCCTCCTAATTTCCCAGCTTCCAAAATCGCTTCCACGAGAAACACGAACTCCTTACAAACAAGGGAGTTTGTGTTGTCACAGATGAGCTTGGGAGCCTTACGCTTAGACGTGGAGCTGCTAAATTAGCTCCCTTTGATTTGTTTTGTTGAAATTTTCATGCATCGTTTGTAGGATAAGTAGATCTAGAAATAATAGATAAGGTTATAAAAAGATATGAGAAAACATATGGGAGATCAGAGAAAACCACAAAGAAGAAAAACATTTCTCATTTCCCTCTCAGAAGATGCTTCAGTTTGGTTTGCAGCCCCCCCTCCTTTCCTCCTGTACAAGGGGACAAGAACACATCCTCCCATCCTCCTCCCTGCTTCTGCCCCTGCAGCATTGTCACCCCAGCATTCCCCTCATACAAAGAAATGACCAGGAAAAAAAAAAGCCACCACATCTTAGTTTTGCTTTCCAGTGGCACACGAGGTGGCCAAAACAAAGGATGGGCCGAAGAACTTGCCCTTTTCCCAGCTGGTAGCAGTGGTGGGGCTGTGTCCCACGGCTCAGAGCCTGGCTTTGGGTCTTGGGTGCTGGGATGTCTTCCCTCTGCTTGCGTCGCTCAATCTGCCAGGAGTTCTGCATCCTTTGAAGATTAGCTTTTACGTTATCTCTCTTTAATTAACAAGTTGCTTCTTCCTTCTTCCCAATCTGACCCTGCTCCTGTGTGATGGCTTGTACACAGAAACAGTGTCCTGAAAACACTGCAGTGGATATTAGCACTGCTTTACAGCTGGGGAGGGTTGAGCAGCATGTGATAGAATGCACCTCTGACCACTGGGGACCATCAGCTCGTAGACTTCTGCTTCCATTTATTGGGGTGAGGGTGATAGCAAGCCCAGGTGGAGGTGCTGGAGGCCTTCTTGTGCTGTGAGCCTCAGCTGGCAATGTTAGAAATGCCCTACGTATAAGTGTTCCTTCAGGTAACTTAATGCTTAGAACAGTAGCTAATATTTTTACAAAAATTCTTGTGCAGCTGCTATTCTGTTGCTGGCCCCAGCCTACCACATGCTGCCTTCAAGGGAGTACCTGAGGTATCACCCTAAAGTTGTCTCCTCTGTTGGTGGAGGGTGAGTCAGGGCATGTATTAGAGTAACTCAGAAATGATACATTTGAGTGCTCAGAACCAGAGTTGTTGGCAACCTGGTGCCATTATTAAGAGCAGAACTGAATGGTGAACTCATCAGCACGTGTGTTGGAGTGAAAGCTGTAACCCCTTGGCCATTTCTGCAGGAAGGTGATGCGGGCTCCTGTTTGTTCCAGGCCGTTTCCTTTGCTTTGGATGCAGTCAGGCTTTGTGTCCTTGTCCCCCCCCACCGCAGGGGAGGAAGTGCCTTCAGAGCACTATTTTGGAGATGCTTAATGTTTCTTTGATTTTTCAGCAGGTGCATTAATTGTTAAACACTGTTTGTGTTGTTGTGGAGTAAGTAGTGCAGAGTTGAAGGACTTCAAAGCCAGACTTCACTGCTGTGTGTTTCGTGATTGCTGGCATAGTACATATTTGATGCATCTAACCTTATAAAATAGCTTCTGAAACTGTGAGAAGTTGCCTAGTTGTACTTTTCAGTCCCTCTGTATGCTTTTATGAGGTAACCCATGGTCTTGTGTGTTAAAGGAAATGAAGTGATTGAGAATTACCTTAATTTTTTCATTTAATATCAAATCCTTAATGTTGCTACTGTGACTGGTAAAGTCTTAAGCTGATTTATCTCAGCTTTGCTGTTACCTGCATTGCTTTTTTAATGTATACTTTATATAGAAATATAACAGTTGTTTATTGTTTTTATTTACAAGAGAAATCAAATGACAAATTCCATCTTGGCTCCAAAATTGCTTGCAAAAGCAGATGTGTATCAGATGATTGGGCTATAAATGTGTTGTGTATATATATGCACACGTTTTAACGAAAGGAGGCTGTTGTTAATTCTTCTGTATTTACTGTTTTAAGGCAATTATCTCTTGTTTTCTTCCAGCATCAGATAACAGTCAGCGATTTCGAGAAACCTGCTTTGCATTCGCACTGACGCCACAGCAAGTGCAGCAAATCAGCAGTTCAATGTGAGTTTGACCAGTGATGCAGTATTTAAATATTACAAAGTCCTTGAAAATACCCCAAACTCAGCTTACAACAGTTTTCATTTTAAAATGCAATCTTCAGTGTGCATAATGCTCACAGGGTGCTCGTGTGGGGAATTCTTTTCTCCTTTGTGTGTAAACTGATGGAGGAGAAAAGGGTGTGGAATGAAATACCTCTGCTGTGCTGTGGTTTCTCTTGCAGTAAGTGCTGTACAAATACAGAACTCTCCTACTTGCAGCCCCTTTTCACAGGTCAGATCCTTCATCGAGTTCTATGTTTATTCAGTATAAAAGTGTTCCTCACACTTACCATCAAAATTTTCTCTTTATCAAAAAAAGGAAAAGGTAGAGATCAGGTGAGGCTGTAACTGGTTTATTCCCTTTGAAAAAGAAGAAGCAGTCTGTATCTTGGGAGCTGTGTTTTGACTGACCAGAAGGGAAGCGCGGTGCATAAAGGGCTGTGCAGAGATCTGACTTAAAGCAGTGTCTGACAGGGCATTGGCAAACCTATTGTACAAACAGTGCATCTTAACCTGTTGTCTCTCTTTACCAGGGATATTTCTGGGACCAAATGCGACTTCACAGTACAGGTCCAGCTAAGGTATGTATTTGTATGGCCTGTTCTCAATACTGTGATTTTTTTTTTCTTAAATTACATTGTATTATCAAAAACTGTCTGAACTTAACTAGAGGGCCTGTCATAGGCTTCAGGATAGTATCTGATGGTGTCTACTGAAATTGGAGTAGGAGCAGTTGAAGAGACTGTATGTGCTGCCCTTTGTGAAACACTGGTCTGGAGTCAAGGTCAGGCTGGAGAAATGGTAGGAAAGAAACTTGGATGATCTATCTTTTGTAGTGAGAAGCTGCATATCTGAGTGAACCTGTTGTTAGGCAGACCCAGCCTGAGGAATTCAAGAAACCTGAGGAGGAGCCTACAGCCATCTTGACCTAAACCTGTAATCAGGGGGGCTTTCCTGCTTAAAGATCCATGAGGCTAGTTTGGGAACTGTATTTAGCATGTTTTCACAATTCAGTGGGAGGAAAAATAGTCATCCTAGGAAGAGATGGCTTTTAAATCATTTTGTTAGTGAAAGGTGATGAAGCTCTTTGGGGGGGTTGGACTCGATGATCTCTGGAGTCCATTCCAACCCCTACAATTCTGTGATTCTGTGTGATTCTGTGATTTGCTTTTAGGTTTTGTTTATCAGAAACCAGTTGTCCACAAGAAGATCACTTCCCACCCAATCTGTGTGTGAAAGTAAATGGGAAACCATGCAGCCTTCCAGTAAGTAAGATGTTATTTTGACATACATAATTGGATAGCATTGTTAAGAGCTGTCTGTCAGAAATTAGCCTGAGAATTTATCCTAACCTTTGTTTTCGCGTTTTGGAGCATTTGAATGAAGACAGATAGAGGAATGAAAAAGATAGTTAAGTAAATTGTTCCTCCTGAGACCAGCCAGCAGATCTAGGAGACTGATATTCTGAAAGCTTGACAGTCAGTTTTTGTTTGATAAACATCCTGTGAGTCTGGCTACCGTGGGGCTCTGTTTCGGAGATCACGTGTGCACTGCTGACCAGCAGGGCTGAAGAGTAAGGCGCAGACTTGGAGGACTGGGGCAGAGCACGGGGTTGGGCTGGGCAGTGTTAGCCAGGCACGTGCAGTGAGCACCGAGAAAGAGGTGTCGGAGCTGCCTTCTGATATTCCAGTGGATAGGGTTCAGATTTGCACAGCGTGGAGCAGTGTGTAAGGAAAAAGGAGTGGGGAAGCACGTGGTGTTTGGCTGTCTGATGTTCATGCTTCTTAAACTGAAGAGGAAGCCCGGTTCAGGTGGGACCCAGCAGGTATTGTGGCAGGGCTGTGAGGAGCGGGGAGGGAGAAGGTGAAACCACTCTTCTTCTTTTGCTGAGGGAGAAAGTCCTTTGATTTCTAGGGCTATCTTCCACCAACCAAAAATGGTGTTGAACCAAAGCGACCTAGCAGACCAATCAACATTACCTCACTCGTCAGATTGTCTACGACGGTACCAAACACAATCGTTGTTTCGTGGACTGCAGAAATTGGAAGAGTAAGTAACTTTGTTTGGTGTGTAATGGTGTCTAAAACTTACTGATTTCTGCTTGGCATCTGCTCGAAGGATTTGGAAGAAAAACAAGATTCATTGTGCAGGAAATACTTCATGGTTTCGCAGTGGATCCTTCCTTATATTGACTGTATTACTCTATCACTTCAGTCTGGGCTGATAAGGCATGCTCCCCTAGGTCAGTAGTCCTAGTTTTTATTGGTGTGAGCTGTCTCTCCTTACCTCTCACCCAGCTGTCTCTGTGAGTCAGGGCTCAGACAATTTGCTTGTCATAATGCAGGCACCTTCCTGGTTTTGGGCACTCGAGAAACAAATGTGGCATTGTGTATAGAGCAGGGGCTTATGACCTTGTAAATGTAGACACTCAGCATAGCAGCTCCATAGGATTCGCATTTAATTTCTCTCGCATTTCCGTTCTCACAAATGCTGTCCTTCTATTTAATATTTAAAAAGTCATGATTTTATAGCTTTCTCTTGTCTGTAGGGAGAGTGTCAGAACCTTACAATTGATGCTGTAAAATTGCTGATGTTCCACTGCACTAATTAAATCTGGAACGTGGTGCAAAAGCTTAATTGAATAAGTTAGTCCCTGAATTAGTGCCTTACTTTCAGTGATGACAAATAACCGCTGGTTACACGTTAAAAGTTGATACGTGCTTGAAAAAACTCTGGCTTTGCCATTGCAACCGTCCTGTTTTTTGAGGTCCTGAGAACTGTCCTGGGCTGAAACGTGGTCCAAACAATTGTCTGAGTGCAAAGCCCAGGATTCCTGAAGTGAAGTGGAAGAATGCTTACAGCCCAGCCATGCACAATAAGCAGTTGTAAAACACCACGATGGTATTTCATTCCCTCTCTGTCATGATGGATTTCTCGTGGAGCATAAAACAATCTCCATTCAGACTACAGAGTAAATGATGGCTGAATGATTTTTTTCAAAGTCATCTTTTATCTAATGAGAGCCACAGGTATCAGAAATAAGCATTTATTTTTAAATCCATTTTGGTTTTTTTTGCAGAAGTGCCTGTGCACACTGATGACTTTCAGTCCAGTGCTGTGCATTTTCTTAAGAATACAAATGGGGACTTAGGGAAAAGAAATGTCACAAGTTTGCAGCCTCTAAGCTTCTCTTCAGTGACCTGGCAATTTCCTTAGCCTTCGTAGATACCAGTTACAAAAGAATATACTGGCTAACTTCCAGCTTACAATATGAAGCTGAAGATAGGGGCAAATTCTTAGCGTGCTTCATGGGAGTTATGTGCCAGTCAGAACTTCCCCTCTCATTAGATAGAACGCTTCCTAATGTGATTGATTGAGCCCTGGGCAGTTAAATGTGAGGAACTGCTCTATTTTCAGATGTGCCTGCACAGTACAAAATCTGAATGCCTTTCCCCACCTTCTCTGAAGTGTCAGTTGCACATCTCAACTAATGTACTCTACCTTTCCTAAAGTCATAATTGTGATTTTTACACAATCTGTTTCACGAGCCTTCTGTACAAGACGCCTTGGGCAAGTTCCTAGCTTTGTAGATTCAAGCTGTCTGTAAATAATTTCTCAATGTTAATTAGCTTTTTTTTCTAACTTCTATACTAATTGAGGCATTAAACAAACAAGTTAAAGCAGTAGTGGTTTTTAACGATGTGAGATGCATTCATTGTAAGAATGAAATATTTAAAATGTGCTTCTGATGCTATTTCAATTTGTGTAATTTTATGCTAAGATGTATTACTGAAACCCCATCTCTGGGTTCTGGTTGCATCCTACGTAGAGTGGCAGATGTCACAACTGCCTGGATTTTTCTGGTTTGTTTTGCTAGTGAAAACATACATGGTAATTGCTGGGGGTCAGCCTTTCATTTTTCAATTTCAAGTGTGTATCTGCAAGTCTGGAGAATGCTTTATATCAAAAAGTAATTGATGCACCTTAATGTGAGGCATGTTCTGTCCTTTCCATTATTTTTCTAGGGAGCGGGGGTGGTGATGGTGGTGCTGGTGATTGAATAGCATGATATGCCAGTTTTAGAAATGAACTTCTACTCTGTTTTCCAGAACTATTCCATGGCAGTCTATCTCGTAAAGCAGCTGTCCTCTACGGTGCTACTGCAGAGGTTACGAGCAAAAGGAATACGGAACCCCGATCACTCGAGAGCATTAAGTATGTCTGATGCACTGCTCTATTAAAAAAAGTAGCTTTTGTAAGTGGAGATTTGAAATGGGGCTGTACTAATCAAGGCTTGGACTTCCTACAATTCTCTGGGTTTCTAGAATCTGATAGTGGTGTTCTTTGTATTCGGTTCCAATTCAAAGACTCCGAGGCTTTTGTTTATGTTAGGAGCCAGTCCAGGAACCCTGTTGACACAGTGAAGAGAAAAATGCAAGAGAATCTCTTTCAGTTCAGTCATGCTGGTTTTGTTTCTTCAGAATACAACAACTGTATTTACATAGTTAACTGGTAATTCAGTACCTCAGCAAGCTGAACTAAATGGCAGAGATTGAACCTTGATGCTGGAGTGCTGGAGGAAGGTCTTCATCAACACACTCTTTGTTCCTTTGGCACACTGTTGTGGAGTGGGCTCCCAGAGAGTCTGGCACAAAATTCCCTCCGCTCCCTCCCCGCTCCTTTCCAAACTTGGTGTGAGCTTTATTGCTTTGTTGTTTTCTGACAAGATTGCAGTGGTAGAAGAAAAATGCAAACAAAATCTGCTACGCACCCTTTTTTCCAGGGGAAGTATGGAAAGACCACTTGCCAGCTGTTGGAGTTGTACTCCTTCACGCTCTTTTGGGAGATGCTCAGATAATGCGCATTGTCCACAGGAAAGGGAGGAAATCAGCCCTCTGGTGACTGCAGGCCCACAGAGCCAGTGCTGTGTAGTGCTGAGCAGAGCTGATGCTGTGTAGTGCTGAGCAGCAGCTTATGGCGCACAGAAATCCAGCTTTCTCAGGTGGCTGCCCCTGCTTGTATGCAGGAGGGCAGTGAGGGTGTAGGTATGGTTCACGGAGCAGGAAGAACGTGGAACTGACTTGTTCACTTAAACAATGGCTGCTTATAAAGCAGTCCTCTTGGATAAAAATAGAGGCTGGGTGGAGACTGAAGACTGGTGTATTCACTAGTGTTAATGTTTCACTGCAGTTATTTAAAGCTCCACTTTTGTCAGGGTACTTCTGCTGTGATTTCCTACTTCTCGGTTTGATTTTTGGTCTTTGTATTGGAGGTTTTCCCGATGAATGTTTCGGAGGGTTGCACAGACTTGTCCACGGGTAGTTACTGAAGCTTTTGTAAAAGCAGTTGAAGTTAACAGCAGTGTTACTGTTGCTCGTCGTGGTGGTGGCTTTTGAATAACTTTCAGCTGAGCAGTTGTGTGCGTGGGGAAAAAGCCATTTGTATATAAGTATTTTTTCTGGGTATCTGGGTTTAAAAACAGCTTTTCCTACTTTTACCTTTCTTAAGTTGTCACTTATGATCTTTCTAGAGGTAAAGATGGCTTACATTGCACCTTTACTGTGCAAGTTAGAAACACTGCTGCTTGCCTCCAGCAGATGTTTTAGAATGATTTTATTTCTCTTAACAAATTTATTTTAAATCAACTGTAAAACTAACTTACTTTCTTTCAAATAACTTACTCTCTTTCAAAAGTCAAAGAGAAACTGACTGCAGATCCAGACAGTGAAATAGCAACGACAAGCTTAAGAGTTTCTCTTCTTTGTCCGGTAAGTGTTTTTAGTTCCCTTAAAAGTCACTGTGATTTAAAAAAAAAGAAAAAAAAAAGAAAGAAAGAAAAAAAAAATGTGTGGCTGTTGAGGGACGAGGTTTTGGTAGAGGTTGGCTTATGTTCCAGCTTCATGGAATAGGATCCAGTACTGTAATAAAGCACGTGACTTGCCCCTGAGCGGGTGAGTATTCCATTAACTTGAAGATGCTATTCAGAACGACATGTAAGCACACATCTGAATCTATCACTAGGTTGTGCACGTGTGCAAATTGGGTTCCCAGTGTTTGGTTGTGGTAACACCACTCTCAGCAGGTGATTCTGTCTGTTCAAAACAGCTCTCCAGCCAGCGCCTGCTAGCAAAGAGTTGAGGGTCTTCTCAGTAAAGGTGGCATTATATGCATTTGTATGTGTTGAATATTTCGGAGTCCTAGAGAAAAAATGAAGAGGTGATCCAGAGAATGTTCAAATACAACTTGTACCAAAGGTGAAGTGGGGGGGTATGTTTCCAATGAACTTGGAAGTGACAGACCTGCTGCATCTTGACCTATTGTTTTTCAACCAAGTGCATGTAGGGTTTAGCAGTGGTTCATAGCTGGCTTTGTTACCATCGGCCGAGCTGCACACTGTTAACATTATGGGTACTTTTAAAGTCTTTGGGATGTGGTGCTCTTGTTTTAAATATCAAACACTTTCAGAACACTTGACTGTTCCATTGTATTCTTATTGTATTGTGTTCTAGTATTGACTGACGCAGTGTCTTTAGTGCAGTATAACTTTTTAACCTGCCCTCAAGATTGAGGATGAATCTATTTTCCTGGTTTGGCTCAGTCTGCTCAACTTGACGTGAAATTCTCAGTTTTGAAATGGAAAGAGAGTTCTCTTTATTCTTGGGAAGTTCATTTCAGTGGTTATTAAATGTCTACTTCAGCTCTGTCAATGTAAAGAAGCTTTTTACAAAGCAAAGCTTTTGTATCTAAAAGCCCAGTGATTACATTCATGTTTTTTTTTTTTAAAGACTATTGTACATCTTTGTGTGGTATTTTCACAATCTTTCTTAAGGTTTCACCATCAATATTGGGGTGGAGAACTGTAAGTAATAACACACTTATAGACTAATATGATTTGTGTGTAAATAAGACCCAGGGATTACTTTCACAGATCAGACTTTTATCTTAACCTTGTAACCTACGATCGTAGGAACACAAGAACCAGTGCACCACACTGAAACTGCTGCAGACTGGCAGTGCTGAAGGTGCTTTAGCTGCACTTGTGTTGTGCTGTTTGCATTCTGTTGTTCTGGACAGCACACTGATGGTGCTGTTGCTTTTTCTATCATTCATTAGACAAGATGTTTTAACCCCATTATTAGTTTCCAGTATAGACAAAAATAATAAATCAGTTAGTAGAATTCAATGACAACAAGAGTTTAGAAGTGCCCACGTATTCCTTATCTTGAATTAATCCCCGTGCATCTTCTGGAAGTAGTTTATTGCTTTGGCCATGGTTGATTTGTCAAAAGAGCCACTTGAGGCAGTTGGGTTTCTTCATAGATTATTCTGTCTCAGTTTTCTGACACGCTTCTGTTTGTCCTAATTGTGTCTATTAATGATTAAAGTTCTTCAGCTTTAATATTTTGAAGCATATTTTTTCACGCTGTCTGTGATTTGGATGAGTTAGTGTCAGAGCAGGAAGGTACGAGATTGCTTTTAGGATTGCAATTTTACAAATACATGAAGATGTCAAATTTTAGTTAGCTTTCTCATAGTTATATGGGGATGGAAACAAGACACCAGCTAGACATTAGGCTGGAGCTCATCAGAAGCCCCGCTTTTCTCCCTGATTCCTCTTGGTTCTTTTCTGAGAGACATACAAAATGGAGTTTGCAGCCACAGATTTATCTGCATCATTTTAGTACTCTCTACAAAACGTGGACTTTTTTCCAACGTGTTCCTCACCCAGTGCTGTCTGATCTCACTGTAGTCCTTGGAGTAACCCATCATTGCAAAAGCTCTGCAGGACCAAGACTGCACCTCTCACACTGTGCTGTGGAAAGAAGGATGGCTAGCAGGATTCAGGCCGCCCTCGACTCTGAATTCAGTTTTGTTGGAAGCTCCACGTTTTCACTTGCAGATTTGTAAACATTTGGCTTAGGGAGAAATTTTTGTCTGTATTTTGTGCTCGCTTTCTATTGCGTGAGTGCAGAGTGGACGATTTGAAAGTGCAAGTTGAAAAAGCTTACGTGGTTTCCAACAGCAAAACTAAAACTTAAAGATCAGTGCATCTTCAGGTCTGTCGATGTGAGGATGCTGATCCTCCTGTCTCATTCGTTATGTGTGGTTCTATCATGTATGTACTTGAGCAAAATAAATGGGATTGCACGTCTGGAAAAGGGTGGCAGGTTTAGACTTGATAACCTTTATTTTGCCCTCAAAAAGCAATAATAAAATTAAAAGGTGGAGCCAGGCAGCTTGCTGTGGCTGTGTTTTGGGTTGCTGCTGAGCTTTTTTTAGCACAGAGGCCTGCTTTCCCTCGGAGAGCATACAGCACAGAGAAAAAGCTGCCCTTAACTGTTGGCTGGATCTGCCTCAGATGCAGCAGGCAGAGGCTGGGCTGAATCTGTGCTTCAGGAAGGCACTTGAATTTGTGTTTTTTGGGTTTTTTTTTCCCCTCTCTCCTCCCGCCCTCAGAATAAAAATAAATCCTCAGGCTCTGCAGCAGGACCAAATATTTAGCTGAACAAAAATTCCAAATCCAGCATTTCACCGTAGGTTTAGCAGCTTTGTTTACAAATCTGTAACTCCTGTTTTGGGTCCGTTCTTTCAGCATGAAAAGATAGCCACGTTTTGTAAGCCTGTGAAAGAAATGAATGCAGCGTTTCTTTTGCTGACAGTGGGGAAGGAACCAGTAACAGCACTGGGAGTTTTTCAGAAGTTGGGAAGCATCCCTTCTTTTATGACCTCTCCTTTTGTCAGTTCTGACACAGCTTGGCCGGCGTGGCAGAGCTGATCCAGGCGTTTGGTGCCAAAAATGGGGAAAGGAGACCTTTCCTGTTAACACTGTGTGTGCTGTTTGTGTGCATAGGGCTTCTGGGAGACCCAGGCTCAATTTCTGTACCGAGAGCTTGCAGAAATGTTTCTGCTGGAAATCTTTTCATTTTGGGATGCTGGGGTATTTCAGTTCTTCCTGCAGCATATGTGTTTGACCTGTCTTGTTTTTCTTTGGCATCACGTAGAAGCACCCAGTTTAATCTCCAGCACTCTTACTCTCGATCCTCACTGAGCTAGGAGACTCCCTGTGCCCAAAAGACAAATGAGCCATTGACTGCCATCTGGGAGATAAGGATTCATAATAGACGTGGGTCAGGGGCCCTTGCTTTGTTGGGGGCTGATTATGGTATAGAAATAATGTGCTTGGTCATGGATTTTAGAGGAGGGGTGCCAGACACATGGCACATGCAGCACCTCCTGCTGCCCCAGCTCCAGCACCATTACTGCAGGCTCCCCAGGGAGGTCCCTGCTTTCCTCCATCTGGTGGTGAGGTCTGTGGCAGTGACGGACAGCCAGAGGGGACAGAAATGAGCAGGGTCCTGTAATGGAGCTGAATTTGCTGAGAGTGGGGCGGGGGGGGGATTTCTGCTTACGGGGGTCCAAAAAAAGGGGAGGGAAAAAAAGCATCATGGAGGAAGTAGTGGACTGTGAGTAGAGCCTTTGTTCTTGATATTGTTTTTAGTTCTGTGATATTCTGAGATTGAGTGCCATCCTGTGGCACCCATCTTGTACTGCTTGCAATCAGTATGCATGACCACACTGCTTAAGCTTACTAAAAACAGTTCCTCCTCCCAGCCACTGCTGGAATTAGCTGGAGGCTTCAAGTGAAGTCATAACATATATTTTGGTCAGTTATCTAGCTTCAAAATAGTTGGCATCAACTTCTTAATAAATCACTGTGATCTTTTTCCACGTAGGGAGGAGTCTCCTTTGGACTTTGTTGCTTTTTAGTGTAGGCAGTCGCTCCTAGAGTGCAACTGCTGCAGAAGCAACTGCCTGTTGAAGAAACTTTTCGTCTCAGATGAATGTGAAATGCCCACCACTGTCCAACCAGCGTTGCGTTTGTTGTAATCGTGTGTTGATATTTTATGGCCTGGGTTATCATTAATCTATCTAATCCAAATCAAGCTGTTCCTGTTGTCAAATCCAGTCTGTGCACCTGCTGTGTGCAGCACCCCTGTGTCTGCCTGCTCTGCTCAGGCACTTGTTGTGCTCTTTGTACTGAGCGTGTGGAAGCTTTGTGCTGCCCTCAAAACCTGCAGATGGGGAGGAAAGGCTGTTCCCCTCTGAAGGCTTATGTTAGCACTTACATTCTTGCCAGCCCTTTGTGGTGTTGAAAAGATCTAATGTGTAACAGGGGATGGGCAGCTATTTGCATTTTGTATAAGAAGGCAAAAATATTTCAGGGTAACTCACTTGTATGCGTAACAATGATGTTTAGCCCAGCAGAGTGAGTATAAAATAGTTTCTTAATGGTGAACAAGTATGGTTTATTTCATGAATTGCTGCTTTCTGACAGTTTTTTAGAGAAAGTGCTGAAAATAACAAAAAACTTGAGGAAACACGTTTCCACACTCGGGAGCAAGCATACAGCAGCACGTTTGCAAACATGTCCCACGTGTGGAAATTAACCAGGTAGTTGCAGTAGTGCCCTGATGGCTGGGATATGGGCAGCAGTTTGAGCACACACTTCATCAGCTGTGAGTGAATAGGAGAGGGCTGACCCACATTCTTTGGATTTCAAATACTAATGAGCATGAAGAATTATTTTTCATGACTTGTCCAGAACACTGGTATGCTGCGGGTGGTTGGGAGGCTCTGTGTGTTGTTGCCAGCATGGAGAGGGATGTAGTCGTCAGTTTACTTGATCAAATGTAGCTGAAAATGTGACTTCAGTGAGGTTTGTATTGCCAGTCAAACCTAGAAATGAGGAAGGGAGGGAACAGTGTATTATGGCATGTGTGCTGACTGAAACTTGGATTTGGGGAAGTGTTCTGGAGCAGAATTCAGCCCATCGCAGCCTCTCTTTAGACAGAAGAGCCCTGTTTGTTAATCTAATAACAAGGTGATGCAATCTTTTTTTTTTTTCCTACAGCTTGGCAAAATGAGGCTAACCATACCGTGCAGGGCTCTGACCTGTTCACACCTGCAGTGTTTTGATGCCACTTTATACATCCAGATGAATGAGAAGAAACCAACTTGGGTTTGCCCTGTCTGTGACAAGAAGGCACCCTATGAACATCTCATTATTGATGGGTAAGTACAACTGGATTCAAAATGAAGGATGTAACTTCTACCTTCTGTCACTGTGTTTGTGCAGTACAGGATACATTGCTCTGCAGTCTTGGTTATCTGATTATGAGCTGTTCTAAGTGGCCACATCTTTGGATTTCCCCACTGTTAAGGACCACTTACCAGGTGTGTCTTCTGTCAGTGTTCCGGAAGAACAAAGGTGATCAGACTGAAGGTTTATAATAACTGGAGGTATTCCTTCCAATCTCAGACAAATGTTTTACTACTGTGCCTCAAAGTTGTCTGTTCTTTCACATATGATGGATTCCTAGTTGAAAATAGCACATACTGACTTTTTTCCCCTTAAATAGAGCAACTGCACAAATCTGGCATAATTGATAAGACATTTGTGTCAGATCAAATAAGTGCTGCCATCTCACCCCCCAGATGCACGTACAATTTCACACTTGGGGAGTTGCTGTGTATGGAAAGTGACAGAGATCAATTCCCTGGGACTGCCTACCTACAGAGCGTTAGGAAAGCAAGCGTTGGTCTCTGTGAGGAAATGCCAAATATGAATTCCAGAGTTTGCAATTCTATTTTTTAGATAGGAGCTATCTTTTGGAGGAATATGTGTTTTATGCTGAAAACAAAGCTAGAGCTGCAGAAAACCACTCTCAAGCCCTTTTGGAGACCCTTGGGTCTTGTACAGGCAGCTTTGGAATCGGGGGCCCTTGGATTTATGGGTCTTCTGCTTTGGATTGAAGAACTATGAGGATTCTTGCTCCTGTACAGCAATAGAGACTAACAGTTTCAGCCTCTAGTAGCAAAGACTAAGAGTTAGTAAATAATTAAAGGAGTGTATCATTCTTATTACCCCTGTGTTGTCAGGTGTGGATGTTGGAGATTAGGTGACAGAACAGCAGCATCCCAGAGAAAAGGCTCTTTGTAGAAATGTTTTAACCTGGGAAAGAGCAAACTTTCTCGCTAATTAAAGCAAAGCTCTTTCCTAGGCAGAACCACGTGAATAGCCTTGGTCAAAAGCTGGAATTCACACGGGGTGATGTGGTGCCAGGATTCTCGATGCTTTGGAGATGCAGATAGGAGAAGAGCATGTGAGTTTAGATTCCCATGCTCAGCCTTTGTTAGGAACCTTTCACTTAGAAAGGAAAAAGAGCTTTCTGGAAGTACTGGCCCTGAAATGCTCAGCTGTAGGGATTGCTGTAAGATATAGGCTTTCTCAGTTCCACCCTGTTGAACAATCTCTTACTTCCCCGTGTTTATTTTCATGTTTGTTTACGTTCTTCCTTTGTTTTGGGAAATACAGAGTTCTGTGTTGTGAGATCTGGAGTGTTCTGAACCCATCTTTTAAGTGAATGTGCAGATCTGTACTTCAGGTAGTTTTAAAAAGGAAAAACGAAAAGACAAAACAGTAACTCCATTTTAATAAGGCAGTGGATGAGGGAGGGATAAAGCAGCAGCAGTTATCAGTCCCTTTTCAACACTTTTCAAATGTAGATGGACTGATAACAAAGATTTTGAGTCAGAAATGAGTTATCCTCTTTTTGAGGGTGGATACTAAAAGATTTTGATTGACAGGTTGTTCATGGAAATCCTGAAGTATTGTACAGACTGTGATGAAATTCAGTTTAAGGAGGATGGCTCATGGGCTCCTATGAGATCGAAGAAGGAGGTGCAGGAAGTGACCACATCTTACAATGGAGTTGATGGTAAGTCGTGTTTTGGGACGTGTGGACTGAATGTCCAACTGCTGGACTTCAACTTTGATATGCTTATTTTTGCTTGTGGTAACTTTTTTAGGCATGTTTGCAGGAAAGACTGCTTGAATAATTCCCTCTTGGGGCCAGTAGTACTTTTTAAGGAATAAGTAATGTGTCAATTTGCTGTCTCTAAGTTGTTTCTGGAGGCAGTATAGTTAGCTGTGATGTGATGATGATTGTAGTGTTGTTGTAAACTACAGCTGCTGTTGTCTTGCCTTGTACAGGATGCATAAGCTCTTCCTTAGAACATCAGGTGTCTTCTCACCAGCAATCAAACAAAAATAAGAAGGTAGAAGTGATTGATTTGACCATTGACAGCTCGTCAGATGAAGAGGAGGAGGAACCCTCTGCGAAGAGAAGCTGTCCTTCCATATCTCCAGCATCACCAATGAATAATAAGGGGTGAGAGTTAAAAATGCAGGCCAATGCAGAGAGAATGTATTTGCAACAAAACGCTGACAAATTTAAAACTAAAGCATACTTAAATTGTTCCCAAAGCTAGTAGTTTGTTACAAAATAATTTGGTCTTGGCTTACAAAGCCTAAGAAGATTAGAGTACAAGATGTTAGATGTATATTCTGCTATGTAAAACACACATACAACACTGTGAAGGATGTGCAGCTCATAAGTGAAGTTGTATATACACATGCTTTCAAAGCTTTGTAAAGTTAACATCGTTTGGCGCGTCACATGATGCAGGTTTTTAATTGCATTTGTGAAAACGAGGTTTCATGCAAGAGGTTGTGGCTTAGAGGTATGTTTTTGTGGCTTTGGAAATGCTTTCCTTCCATAGGGAAATATAAGAGCAGCACATATGGAGAGTGAGCAGTGAGAAACATACTCGGGTGTGGTATGGGATGTGTGGGTTTTGCCAGTAACTGCTGCCAGTAGCATAGCAATAAAGAATGCCAGAATAAGCTGACTGCACTGAAGTAGCCATGCTGTTAATAGCACCCTGTTCACGTAAACATGTGGGGATGAAAACTGAAGCTAAAGCTATGGGATCCTGCTGTTGAACTCGTTACTTCTCCAGTGATGTTAAACCTCTCAGTGATCGCTTAAAACTCTTCAAGTCCTTTTTGGGTGTGTTCCATTGTTAATTGCCTTGTAAAGCAGGACTGTCAGGCAGATTTGTACCTCCTTCTAGGATACAAGATGCCTTAGGGTTGTCTTGTCCCAGCTTAGGAGCGCATGTAGAATCTCTGTAGTGGAGATTCCTGTACCATTTGCAGTGGGTCCCATCAGTTTCTTCTGTTAAGATTGAACTTTGCTGTGCATTAGTTTTGCTGAACTTCAGCAGGCTGGCAGTCTGTCTGGAACTGAATCAATTTTCTGATTTAGCAACTTAATTGCAAGAAAAAAGTTTGGGGAACATGTAATGCTCAACCTCTTTCCCCTGCAGGACTCACTGAGGTATAGCAGCAGCTTGATGCTTTCTAGAGAAGCTTTGAAATTTAGCAGGGGAGCTGTTAATGCCTGTCACAACAGTAATACAGTGTGCTGAGATTGTTAAATTTGAGATGGGCACCCCTGCATGGGACAGCAGTAGAAATGAGGGAATCTTCGAATGGTGTACTTATAGTATTGGCTGTAAGGTTAAATTTTATCCTTTAAACCTTTTGCTTTTTCTAGTATTTTGAATTTACCCCATCAAGCATCTCCTGTGTCAAGAACACCAAGCCTTCCTGCTGTTGACACCAGTTACATCAACACATCACTTATCCAAGACTACAGGCATCCATTCCATATGACACCTATGCCTTATGACTTGCAAGGTAAGCTTCTGACTGCTCCTAGCTGTGGGTACAGCTCTCTCAGCAGCTGTGACTATTAGAGAAGGAGTCAAACATGCAGTTGTTTCCCAATCCAGTTGTGCAAAATAATATTTTTACAACCATAGAAGATAAGGTGGAATTTTAAGAGAAGGAAGGTTTAAGTTAGTGTCTTAAGGTGTTAAAAGTCTGATTTCTTATTTCTTCCAAGATCTGGTGGTAAAGAGAGTCTGAAGTGTCGTTAGTTTTATGCTGATTGAATTTGTTTCATTTCAAAATTTGGTGGGAGAAATTGGGAGGTGCTTGTTTCTTTTGAGAAGCTTGACCTCTTTTTCTTTGGCTCTTTTCAGGTTTAGATTTCTTCCCTTTCCTGTCAGGAGACAATCAGGTAAGTTAAGGAAAATTAAATCATCTGGCAGATTGCTTTTCTGAAAAGGACTTGCTGACTTGGACGTATAGGCGAGAAAAGAGCAAATCTGTGACACAGGTGTGAGTGCAGGCAGTCTGTACCTCTTGTGCACTCAGGATGTAGCCAAACATGAGCACTGGCCTAAATACAGGTGCAAGATAAGGCATAATAACAGATAAATACTTCTCTTCAAGGCCTTCAAGCTGGTTAGCTGCAGGTATATTGTGGGATGACCATTGGCTGTGGCTGAAAGTGCACCAGCCACCTCCTGAGCTTTTGCAGACTTCAAATCTGTGTGACTTGTCTCCATCTGACAGTGCTAGGCCCCACCACTGGGCCTCTTGGCAGTTTTCTCTACACAATTTTGAGAGTCAGGACAGCTCTTGTTTTCTTTTTCCTTCCCCTGAGTCTGTGTGCCTGCTCACACTGTTTGCTGCTTTTCTGTGAGCGCTTACTGAAACGAGCTAGATTTGGTGCTGGCTTCTGCAGTTCTAAAAAGATCATTCTCAAAAGGATTGGCAAGCCCTCCCACTTGATCACAGTGCCTCCAGTGTGTCCAAGCAAAGAAGAGGACTGGGGTTCACCCACCTTTTGTCCCTCCATTCCTGTTCAGCAGCCTCAGATAGGAGAATGGTACTACAAACAAGGGGACTTCCATGCCGTTGCAAAGACTGGAGCCAGTTTAACAGAGCTTGGATTCAGAGAAGCTTTCTTCATATTCAGTAAAAACACAGATGTGGGGATTACTCCAAAATGAGTATTGCCCAAGTCTGGTGTTGCACTGGCATGGCATAATTGTACCAGTGCCTGAGTGTCAGGAAACAAGGCTAAATGGCCTGCGTGGATGTTTCCTCCTGGTGAAAAGAAATACAAAGTGCAGAATTACCATACGGATAGATAGCATTTCAAATCCAGATCTTGGTAATTGAAGTTCTTGCCTTTTGGGGGCTGCCTGTCAGAGAGAATCACCTTGGACAGCCCTTGCTGCCTTCTGATGGGCCTAAACGTGCTATTTCTAAAGGTGTTTTTCACAGAAGTATGCTTTCCTCCACCAGCAATGAGTAGCACGTAGTTATAGCAGTTGTAGTTGATGACTAATGAGCAGAGGGATGGCCAAATGATTCTTTGAATTTTGGGGTATTTTTCCACCAAGGAATTGTATGGAGAGGTAAAAGAGTGCTTCTGCTTGCCGTTTCTTACTGTCTGCCCGTCTTGCAATGCCGCTGCCTTTCTAGTGTTTTTTCTTACTAATTGCCAGTATTTCCCATTTCGTTTGGCTCTGGAAGTCAGGGGCTGCAGAGGTAAAAGTTGACTGCGTCGATCCGCTCACCTTACAGAAAGGTTGAGCGGGCGAGCTGGTGTGAAACCCAGCAGCTGTCAGAGCTGTAGCTTACAGATATATTCTTTTTTGCTGGTCTGAATCAAAACAATGGTGTCTGAAATGTAACTTGCAAATGTTGTTTTTCCCCCCAGCATTACAACACATCCCTTCTTGCCGCTGCAGCTGCGGCAGTTTCTGCATCAGATGATCAAGAACTCTTACACTCTCGTTTTTTCCCATACACTTCATCTCAGATGTTTCTCGATCAGCTAAATGCAGGAGGAAGCAGTTCTCTGCCAGCCACAAACGGTAGCAATAGTGGCAGTAACAGCAGTCTTGTTTCCTCCAACAGCCTGCGAGAGAATCATGGTCATCCAGTTGCAAGTAGGAGCGGCGCGGACACGGCGTCTATCTTTGGTATCATATCAGACATTATTTCCTTGGACTGATTTTTGGAGAAAACGAACTGGTCAGAGGAAGTCTTTGTGTTTGGTTTTACTTTATGTTAGAAACATAGACAGGTTTTTTTCCTTTTTTAGGGAAAAAAATTTACATGTACAGAGAACAAAACTATATTTTCAGTTTTACTTTTGTATATAAATCTAAGATGGCCTCACAGATAAAAAAAAAAATAACAAAAAAAAAAAAACCCACAAAGCAAAACACACACACAAAAAACCCACAAATACAAGGAACTTCGATTTTCTGGATGCTGAAGATTCTACACCTGTGCATTTGTCATGTGAGTTACTTTTTCTGCCCTTAGTTTGGACACAAATGGCATTATTCTCTTCACAGTAACATAAATGGGAAAAGGAACTGAACTTCTGAAGTTCAAGCTCCTAGGTTTTTTCTTTTTTTTCTTTTTTTTTTCTTTTTTTTTTTTTTTTTTTTGCCTCTTAGAGACATCTGTATTTGGTGGTGGAATGTAATTCCCCCATCCCATTTTGGTGCAGATTTTGTTGTGCTTGAAGTGGAATAAACCCTACCCAGCCTGTTCCGTACCATTCCCTCAGTTTGCAGTACGTAGCCTTTCAGGAGTGTTTATCTGTCATTTTTTGTTCTATGTGACCCTCTGTTCAGCTGACTTTCTTTTTAATTCCATGCTTTAATCAAGCATGTTGCAAGCTCGTTAGTGCACCAATTATTCTGGAGGGCCAGACTCAATAAAATGTCAGGCTGAGAAATGTTTTGGCTGTGTTAATGTGGGACAAGACCAAATTGGTACAGAATCTAGCCCCAGAGAAAAGCATCGACACATCCCACTGTAGGTTTTTGTTTCTAACCACTTACTATGAAATCCTTTTAAAATAACTTCAGATCCTAATCACAATATTAAGCATGTGTCAGTTTGAGATGTGTGGAGCTGCTTGTGCTTTAAGGTCAGCCACGTGTGTGGAGCTGGCCCACTGGGCTGGGCCTGCCTGCTGGCTGGGAAAACCTCCTTTGAGCTGCAGTACATCAAATTTCTGCTTCAAAGTGAACTTGTCAGCAAAAGGAAGAAAATCCAAATGCCAACGCTCTCTTGCATGGTTTGTGCAGCTGATAGTGGTCTTGGTACACCGTCTTCTGAGTTCGCCTTCACCGAGTTAAGTTGATATTCAGTGTTTAATGTGAGTCTGTTAGACCAAAAAAAAGCCCGGCGCCCTTCCCTGCACTTAAACCAATCTCTGCCTATTGAAGTCTCCCAAGGTCATGGGTTCCTGTTCAGTTTTCTCCCTTTGGCTTGGCGATTGTTTTGATTCCCCATTCCTTTCCATGCACTTCCATTGCACTTGGAGCCACGTTTGCTTCCTGGTTTCACTTCTTTTTTTTTATTTCTCAGCCATGTGCGACATAGGAAAATCTTTTTGTAAGAGCTGGTGGATCATTTGGGCTGATCCGTTCTTGTTACAGAGAAACGTGTAAATAGCTGGAATGCAGTTTTTCAGGAGATTCTTTAAAGTGAGAGTAGGGGGAGGGAAGGAGGTGATTCTCTTGTGTCCCAAAGTCCGCGTCAGAGAGAAATGATTTCCTCTGGTGTGAAAACTATTTTTGTAACTGGTTGAAAGTGCAGGTAACAGGTTTATCAGGAAAGAGAGTGAGGAATACAGAGGTTAGCAGATGCTTGTCTGAGTTTTTAATGTCCCAAGCTGTTGATTGCAGCTGTAGTTTGCTTTGAGCATTGACGAGGGCCACCTTTTGCCTATGAAGTTGTCTCAAAATATTGCATTAATTAAAAAAGGAAAAAAAAAAAAAAAAAA